GCTGCGCTGCCACCCCTTCCCCTCCCGGCAGAGCCCACCCCGGCTTGGGAGCCTCCTCCTCCTCATCCCCAGGGAGCCTGGCAACCAGCCTACGCTGCCTGCAGCCCCGGAGCTAGCGAGCAGGGCTAGGGATGCGGGGGGGGGGCGGTGCGGAGCCCAGAGCCAGCCGGCGGCCACACGCAAAACCCCGCTCCAGACTCTGAGTCCGGAGCCCAGTGCTGGCTGCCTGGAAACTGGAAAGGCGCCGCTTTTGGAAAATGTGCACAGAGGGGAGCAGCCGCTCCCACCCCAGCTACGCTACTGGGCGGGGGGGCGGGGACGCTCCGGGGCTGGGGAGGGGTGGAGGCAGGTGCTGGTGCCCACTCCAGGTGGGGCCAGGGGAGAAACACAGCTCCAGATATTGGTGGAGCACAGCCCCCAGCCTTGAATATTCCTGGTGCTCGGACACCACGAGCCCATATAACCTGCCGCCTAGAGCAAGATCTGCACTAGTGGAAACACACCAGTATCACTGAAATCTATGAGACTAGCCACCAGAGCTCAAATGCTAAGTTGCAGAAGACAATAAATCCACACATTTATTCTGCTGAGGAATATTTACCTGTGACTGGGGAGTCGCACAATGATTTGACAGCTACAGTGTCTGCATCCCAGCTGGCTCGGTTACTAGCGTTACATCGGTAGAAGACGTCACTGCTGTTTGCATTAATCGCTACGTGCAGCAGGGATTGGTGCCCAGGGAGCTGATGGTCCCGGTCAGACGGGATCTGGGACGTGCCTCGGGACCAGCTGTAGGTGACTCTGTCAGCGCCAGGCACCGAGCAGGACAGGGTAACGTTGCACTGGCCGAGCTCCGCGTGGGCAGAGAGCACCGTGAGGTTTGGCTGCCGGACTCGCTCTGAAAGGAGAGACCCTGGTGAGAGATGCTGAGGAAGGCGGCTGCCGTCAGTGACACACACTAGGGAAAAATGTGATCTTTGCTACTCACCAAACACAGAGACACGGAACTTCATGATGTCTTCACGGCCTCCTCCAATGTCAATTATCAAGGAATAGAGGCCACTGTCTGACTTATTTACTGGATCAATCTTCAATGAGAGATTTTCAGGGTGGAAAGTGACTCTGTTGATAAAATGTGGGGATGCCCCATGGTCAGGGGGTTCACTTTTATTAAATGTTACAATCCGATACGTCTGTGCTGAGTCTAGTGTAACCTTCCAGGTGATTTCTGCCCAAGGCTCCGGCAATTTCACTGGCTGTAACTGGACCGATTCCTCTGCAATTCCGGCCACTTCCATTTCTTTACAACCTGGGGGTCCAAAAGTACAAAGAGCAGGTGAGTGAAGGGTTAACTGGGTCCCCAGCTTGTCAGGGAAACATGGGATAAAACAGGGTCATTTCCTGGGCTGGCTTAGGGGTGGGTGGAATTTAGTGCTGGTGAAAGGTACTGAACTGATCAGCCTGGAGTCCTCTATTACACCACAGAGCGGCTGCACCCCAGGCTGTGTACATCAGCACTGACCTGCACCGGGGCGGGGTCAGCCCCCATGGCCAGTTCGATCCTTGCTCCACCCCACTTTTCACTGTGGCGGGGAAAGGGGCTTCCACCTCGTCCCTGGGGAGGCTGATCCTCAGCCCCACCCATTCCACTGTCTCATGCTTCTTGGAGCGGTGGAATGGGCTTGTGGCTAAGGCACTGAGCCAGGCCTCGGGACACCTGGGTTCAGTGTGGCCAGCTCTGCCACAGATTCCAGGGCTGACCTTGGGCAAGTCGCTTCACCTATCTGTGCTTCAATTTCCCTCCTGAAAGTGGGGCTACTCATAAGATGCCCTTTCCTTCCAATCTCTGTCTTGTCTATTTAAAGTGTCAGGTCTCTGGGGCAGGGACTGCGTACGTGCAGCATCCCACATGTTAAGAACCCCTGGCTCTTATCGGTACATCTCAACGTGTTTTCCAAAGGGGGTCAGTTTCATTAGTCCCATTTTACAGCTGGGGAAACTGAGGCACAGAGACGGGAAGTGGCTTGCCCAAGCTCACTCAGCAGGAGAGCTAGGAACAAACACTCAGCTCTGCTGAATACCAGAGCAGTGCTCTAACCACTCAGCCACACATGATGGCTCCCAGGTACTACCAGAATATCATCGCTGATACTCCCGGCTAGATGTTCAGTCTCCCTGGCTCATCCGGGCCCCAGATTCTTTCTTCAGTCTGTCAGCTAAGTTGGGAAATGAGTTTTTATCCATTAGTATTTACATGACAGTGCCAAGTGGGATGGTCTTACGGACTGTACCTTGGACCCCTTTCCCCAGAAGCTGCACGGAGCCCCACGCTCTCTTTTCACACCAGCCCCGGAGCAGCCCCTGCAAAGCGTTGAGCTGAAAAGCTCTTGAAAAATAACCCCCAAGAGCGTGAGCATTTTCTGCTCATCTGCCTTTTCCTGTGTGTGGTTAAGTAGGTGCCATTGTCTCCGAGCCAGCAGCGCAGATAAGCTGCTCTGGGGACCCTCAGAGGAGGGACAGGCGTGTGCAAATAGCACTAACAGCTTCCCTCTTTCCCATCACAGCTGCTGGGGGGCGGGGGGAGACACAGAGGAAGCTGCTGGGGTGAGCAGGATTGCTGGGACCGGAGCTTCCACACTCAATCAGATCATTGGTCCATCTAGCCCAGCCTCCCACTTCCAGCAGCACCCACCAAGGTGCAGGGCAGAAGCTGTTGTGCCGGTACGAGGGCAGCGCTGCTGTTACAGACGCTTTCCTCCCACACCCACTCCCCGGGGCACAGGCAGCCACAGCAGGACACAGAGGGCCTGAGTCTCATTCACACCGAGGCCCCTTTACGCGGCCTGAGAGCATAAATAAGATCTTCAGGGCTCAGTCCTCAGTTGTGCTCAGTTGCTATTTGGCTCAGCTTTGGGGCAGGTGGGTACATGGGACCTCTGCTTATCTTGGGCATCCCAGAGACTGGAATAGTCCCTGGTGTAACTTAGATCAGCTTCACGGCTGCTCTAACTTACCCTGTGCCACCAAGCATCTGTCGGAGCTTTGCGGGCTCTGCCCCACCCTCTCCTGAACCTGGCATGCCCCCTCCCCGGTCCTCCCTGACACACTGCCTACACTGGCTTTACCCATCCAAGACTTCCCCTGAAACAGGGAGAACCCTCAGCTGCCCGTTTCCAGCAGCCTCGTGGTGGCTCAGTCACGTAGAGGCCTGAGCCTCTCGGTGAAACTGACTCCCGGACAGCAGCCTAGCATGGGGCCTACGCGGAAGTGAGGTCTCACTTCAGCCCACAGGACCCAGGGCTGGCCACTGTACAGTGAATCACACACTTAGCCACTGCATCGCTGGGCTTAGAATAACACTGTGCTCTGTGCTAACACCTTTGTGCATCTTCTGCTCAGCAGACAGGCTGAGCTGCATTTAACTCACAGGTCAGCCTCTCCCCGAGACGCATTCTCCAAAGCAGAGCGGAGTCCGTGTTAGCTTTACACTAGGGTTGCCATTGGGGTTGGAGGTATCCCTGGGGTTGGACATTTTTCTGAAGGTTTCCCCACATGACAATCTTTAATTAAAGATTAATCTTGAATTCCTGGAGCCTCCAGGACAATCCTATTGGCAGCCCTAGTTAACACACACACCCTGCCCTCTCTTCCCCACACACTTTTACATAAATAGCCACAAGGACAAGGTTGAATTACATGAGAACAATCAAAAGCAAGAAGCTAGAATAAGTATTGTCCCATGCTCAGTATGACACCAAAACTTAGGTTTACTCTTTAAGAAACTGAATATTGTAATAAATAAGAACCCGTTTTTCGTAGAGGGCTTTTCATCCATTGATCATCATTATCCTCATTTTACAGGGTGGGAAACTGAGGCACGGAGCAGGGAAGTGACTGACACTATGCATCGTTGTGGAGCTGGGAACAGAACCTGGAAGGGGGAGGGGGGGCAGATCCCCAGCTGGTGTCAATCAGAAAACACATCTCCATTGCAGGCAATGGAGCTATGTCAGTTTACACCAGATGAAGATCTGCTCTCGCTCGCTCCCACTCCAGAGTGTGCTATCCATGGATAGCACACAGCTATGGGCCTGATTCTCATTTACCCTAAGGCCCCTTTACACCCCTCTGCCAGCGTAAAGCAGCCTTAAAGTGGGAACATCTGTAATTTACATCTACTTACAGCCCCTTTAACACGGCCAGCGTGATATAAAGGGATCTTCGTGAAAATGAAACTCGGGCCCGAAATGTTTAGCGCTTTTAACCTCTCCTGACAAATGAGTTTTTCTGGCCCCGGGATAATTTGTGCTGCTTGTCCATGAATTCCCTTCAGTTTGTAAACTCTCTTGTACTGAATTATCCAACACTGAACCGAGAAACACACAATCATCTCTCTGTTCCATGACCTGATACTTCTGCATATGCTTCCCCAAAGCACATCAGCTTGCCCCTTGCTGCGCCTATCTCTTTCACAGCTCATGCCCAGGCCCCTAGGCCTCCCTGAACGCTGACAAATGCATAGCGGGAAACTCGCCTGGCTCACCTGTGAGTTAGTGTTATTACCATCGATAGCAGAGTCATAAAAATGTGTCCAGACTTTATGGAATGCTTGTAGGATGCTGCATGTTTTAATCCTACTTAGAATATCTGTCTCCCATGCCAGAAGGTGATGTTCTAATGTTTGCTCTGTAACTAAAAACATTTGCTGAGACTGTAGATCCCCCCCAGTCAGGGGAGAAGCCATATTAAGTGTGAAATGCTAGTTTACCACAAGCAGGGTTCTCTCCTCCCCACCACCACAAGGTGTACAGACACCAGACAAACCGCTGTGGATAGAAGCCTTTGTTGATTTTGCTTCCCCCACACCTCTGAAGAGGGGACATGTGCAAGCCCACGTCCCGTCACAGTTTGAATGTGGGGGGAAGGGAGTACAAATGCCTGTTTAGGAGAAATTGGTCTCTTTATGCTGTCTGGAGTCTGAGGGGCAAAGATTCCTAAACATAAGTGAGAGATCCGCCAAGCTGCTTGGCTTGGGTTAGCCCTAAAGGACGTACAAGCTTGCTTATTACAGATGCTTCTATTACCTTTTGTGTATGTTCACCTGCTTTAATCTTGTCAATAACGCTCATTTCTTTTTCCTAGTTAGCAAACCTTTAGTTAGGTTGTTACAGGATTGGTTACAAGAGTTGTCTTTGGGTTAAGATACCAGTGCAACTGACCTAGGGTAAACACAACGGCACCTTAGAGACTAACAAATTTATTTGGGAATAAGCTTTCGAGGGCTAAAACCCACTGCATCAGCTGCATGGAGTGAAAAATACAGAAAGCAGTATAAATATTACAGCACATGAAAAGATGGGAGTTGCCTTACCGAGTGGGGGATCAGTGCTAACGAGGCTAATTCAATTAAGGTGGAAGTGGCCTATTCTCAACAGCTGACAAGAAGGGGTGAATATCAAAGGAGGAAAATTACTTTTGTAGTGCTATTCATGTCGGGTTCAGCTCGAACCCCGTACTCAGGTGGCATTTTCCTGACTGCAGGGAGTCACTCCGGAGGTGCAGAGGTCAACACTAATGGAGCTCAATGCAGGATTTGTGCAATTTACAAAGAAAAAAATACCCAAATACCCACTGGAGAAAGAGGATAGTCAAGACTGGGAGCTTTCAGGGGCAGGGTCTGTCTTTTTTTCAAATTTTTTCATACAGCACAATGGGGCCCCAGTCCCCTAAATAGCTCACTGCCTGAAGTCGGACTAGAATACTTTGACAAACGTGCTAATGAGTGAAAGGCAGGCTAACTCGCAGCATTGCTCTTGGAATTTTTCATGAAACTCATGATAGTTCGTGTTTTCCTTCAAGCCCCAGCTCCTGGAATCATGTGATTAGGTGAGAATCCCCCCTTCCGGTTTGCAAAAAAGAGAAGTTTCTAGCAGAGTTGGGAAATTTGCGACAAGACATTTTCCCATTTAAAAAAATGTCACTTTGCCAAATCTGTTCTGCTCATGGAGAGAAAATCGCAACAACTTCTCACACAATTCTTTTTCACTTGCCTCACACATTTCTTGCTTCTACAAATCTCGCGTTAATAAAGTTACAGTTAGCCTAACTCTTGCTAACAAACTGTCATGCATTGCAATCCCCTTCCTATCAGTTCTTTCTCTGCTTCCACAAGTTGTCAGGAAGAGAAACATTAAGGTATGAAACAATGGGTCCACTTAAGCTAATGGTGGGACATTAACAGGAGATCGGTAATAGTTAGTTAGGAAATAAGATATGTATGCCTAGCCCCAGGTAAACTTATCAG